CTTCTGCCTGCAGTAATGCCTTTGAAGAGGAGGCGCGTCAGCTGTATGTATATGTTGGATGATGGACCACAGAGCTATGCGGTGATTTAAGTTGGGTTAAGTTGAGTTGAGTTGAGTCGAAGTGAAGTTTAATGCCGTTGGCGGCGAAGTTGCCGCAACCACATGGTTGTGGCGCGTAGGACAGAGAACTAAACAACTAAACCCATTCGGTTGGAATGCGTGGCATTTAATCACAACAACACAGCAGCAAGCAAGCGGGGGGGCAGTCAGTGTGGCAGGAAAGCCATTGTGTCGACAATAATTTTGCAATGGAGCCAGGCATCGGTGCCAGCAACACAAACAGCTGGTGGTCTGATATTTTGCTGCTGGTATGGCTATTTGTTAATCAGCCATTTGTTGGTGTGGCGGCGCACAGCTGACTCGACACGAGTAACTAAATTGCTCACTGACTAACTGAGACGGGCAAATGGTTGATCGGCCGGCGGCAAACGATGGTTGCTATTGAGATTAGCACAGAATGTTGAATAAAACATGCTGCAGCAGATTAAAGTGTTGCCATTGCAGACAGTTTATTCTTATGCACATGACTTTGTTGCACCGCACTTTAAAAAAAGTGTTGTGAGTTGAACTCGAACTCCGCATATGCTTAGCAAGCAGCCAGCAGTGAGTGGAGCAGCAGCAGCAGCAGCAGCAGCAGCAGTCAAGTAATTTCTCACTTTATATGCGAATGGTTTCGTAAGCACTCAGCAGCATTCATACGTAGTTATATACATATGTATGTATGTTCATAAATGCAGTTCTGTGTCAAATTTTTATTTTTAGTTTTCATTCTCCCTTTGTTTAGTGATGCTTGCACAAATATGTAATTCCACTTAAATAGCTGAAACACGCAGCGCACCATTGTAGTTCGTGTTCTTCGAGGCATAAACAGCTGATGTTGTATGCAGGCCGTGTTTCTGCGGATGTCATAAAATGCAACACTGAGCTTCAACAAAACACAACGCTACGAAGTTGATGTTCACACTCGTTGCCTGCCGTACGGCATGTCAGATTTGCGCGCGCTGTTGAGCCATTAAAGTTTCGCTTCACACCAGGAACATGGTTTAGTTTTGTTTGGTGGGTGGTGTGTGGTGGAGTTGGGCGTCGGACATTAAAGTACTGCCAATGTTATGGCTGCTTGGGTCTGTACTACTGCATTGTAAGCAGTTCTATAGAAGGCAGCGTAGAGTTTGCATAATTGTCGATTTTACTATGTTTGGCCCACATTGTATGGCAACTTTGCAATATTTATTTCTTTCTACGGCGGCCCTGTTTGTTTCTGAACACAATTCAAGCACTCTCATTCATATGCCCTTTATACTCCTTATTTCCGTATTCTATTCCATATTATGTTTTCGAAGCTGCGAGTTTCTAGTTGTTACAATTTCCATAAAATATTAACTCCGCTGATGATTGCAAACCACTTAATCGCACATAAACACCAGCGCAAAACGGAGTTAAACTTTAGTGGTTTGTTATGCCATTTGGCGCTCTATTTATGTCGCCTAATTTCCTGAAAATAGAGCTAATAAGTTTTTCTTAATGATGTTAGAAAATCTTAAATAAATAATGGTCGATCTTACAATCGCCAAGTAATCAGAAGTTTTTTGAGAATGGTCTATTCTGTTGTCAAGCGTTGCCGGTTATGATTTATTACGACGGCTCAGAAAGAAGTGGACGAATATTGCCTCTAACCTTACTGCCCTTACAACTTTTCGGGAAGCTTTAGGCAAGCTGCAATGTAGTAAAGACTAAATGTTTGGCCAAAATGGGGAGTCACCACGTTCGGTCACATGAAGATCCTTCAAAGCAGAGCTCGCGCAACTTCTAAGATGGTCGGAAGAACCCTCACTTGTGGAACAACTGGACAAATCTGTCCCAGCTCCGAAAAGAAAGGATCCGACGCTTTCATTCGTTTTGAAAGCCGTCTACTAAGGCAACGGGCCACTGATTGATAGGAAGGCATGCCAGAATGGGCTTGCCGTCAAATGACTTCTGCTGAAGCTGCCGCTATGAGGAAGAAATTGAGATTTTGAAACACTATCACTATCGAGCAGACGCTCATTTCACATCACCTCTTTGACCGTTTGGCGGACCTAAGCGAAGCAGGCATTCATGAATTCTTGCGCCTCATTAACCTAAAACATGTTTCGACTTCTAGACCAATGGACGGGATCGAATAGGAGCTCTGAATTGGTATCACAACGGGCCAACTGGGCCTAAGTGTGCCTCCCCAACAAGCCGCTTTAATCGATTCTAACCTCACCCTGCCTTGTGTCAGATAATCCCACAATCGTTGTCGCCAAGTTCAGCTAAGGAGAGGTACAGGAAGTGTGCAACTTCCACCGGGTCTGCCCATAGGGATAGGGGCGTTAGCTGGAGCTGAAGAGGTGCCGTGAGTCATGTGGCGACTCTCCGCTTTCCGGGCAATCATGGAGTACATTTGCATTCACTCTGATCAGGCGTGAGTTTAGACAGAGCGAAGTTGGGCTATTGTGGTGCGAGTCTCTCTAGCCAGATAAAGTTCTGTCTCGTCCATGCCGGATGGTTGTGTGCCCAAAATTATTGCCCGTGTCGGGTCCAGTGGTTGTCATACCTACATATGTACGTCTAGACCTCGTCCTTGGGTTCGCATATAGTATATGCCTTTTGGCGTACCCGGCTGGAAGTTCCGCATAAAGCAAGTGCCTTAAATCATAAATATTAAATAAATATACATATCTGTATGGATGTATGTTTGTGTACATATACCGCGAAATCACCAGTTTGACTTGGTTTTCGGAGCCACATTCTGCTTGCTTCTTTTTACATCAAAAGTCTAAATGCTGAATAGCTTTAATTCAAACATCCTTCAAATGCCTTTCTCTTCCTTCGAAAAATTTGCTCTCATTCTAAGTATACATACATATTTGTATTCCGTTTGCAATATGCAAACCATACGTTCTTGCCACATGTGCATTGTGTGCATGCGAACAAATGTATCACTTTTTCCAATACTAAAGAAATCAACCCGCTTTTATTTGTATTAAACTTTTTTCATGTCACACAATGCGACATCCAACTCAAGCACTCTCAAATGTTTTTTCCCTATTCAATGTTATAGTATGTATGATTTCCAATTCACTGCTTTCGGTCAATAAAACATCGATATGGACAGAAATGGATTCTCGTTTTCTTCGTATACTAACACATCCCTATTTCATAAATGCTTTTGACTTTCCAATGTGAATCACTTATGGTGGGTGAATAAATATATCTCCAATGACATTTTGTGAAAATGCTCTGCCAGCTCAAATTTGTGTTTCACTCATTTTCTTTATTTTCTTGCCTTCTTCGGTCGCCCAGCCAGCCACCCACTTAATCAAAGAAACCATTGATTTTTGACGTATGAGTACACATACTATGTAATACTTCACATTCTTTCTTTTGCGTGTGATTTTTCAATGCTGCGTGTAGCTTTGTCTGTGACTCTTACAAGTTGGCAATAAAAAATGTAAAAAATTAATCTTTCCATTGCCTTTTCTATTTACTTACTACTCCACCACCACTGCTCGACTGTTGCCCACATTTCGCCGGTTTAACGTTGTACATACATATGTGTACTATGTGTGTGTATGCCTCGGTTTGTTGGGTCTTTTGGCCGGTCACATTATTGATGGCATTTGTTGCCTTTGGCACTCCTCAGCAATAATTCTTTCACGTCTACATACTCAAACCACGCTCTACTAATATCACTCCTTTTGCTGGTCTCTCTGCGCTGCTTGCCCTCCTGCGCTTCTTCTGCACTCTTCAAAGTATCGAGCAACGAATCGAGTGCTGTGCTGCTGCTGCTTAAGTTGTTCCAAATCAAAGTCAGTCGCGACGCTCGCTCGTACATATACTTTTTCATGCTTTGTTGGGGTTGGGGTGGCTGTCTTTAACCTGACTTCAGTTGGGACTTTTTTTTCTTTTTATTGCATTTAATTTTTTTTTATTACTTTTTGTCTTTCTTGGGGCACTTGGGCTCGATTGTGCTGTGCTGTGCTTGCTGCTGCTCTTTTCTCAAGAGTCTGCAGAGTGCAGAGATATGATAACTGTGCGCATAAGTAGTGAAAGAAGTAAATAAATACACAAACATATGTACGGTGGTAGGTGTGTGGTGAGTGTCGAGCACTTTTGTGCAGGCGTACATAGTACGTTTGTGTGTGTATGGATGACTTTACATTTAAACTTTTGGCGCGCAAACTTTTTTTTTATCATTGCAACAGCTAGCAAGCACTTCGACATACAGACATTTATGGGGATGTATGGGGATGTGCTTCAGCCACGAAACATACATAGAGGTTGGTGTTGAATTGACTGTTCGAGTTGTGCTTTGCCGCGAGGAAACAGCTGAAGTGGTGCACCATTTGTGCGACAGCTGATTCTGCAGGTTTTGCTTTGTTGTTTTTTT